CATTCACACCTTCCCGGCTGGCCTAGCGCGTGTTTGGAACGACAACCCCCTTAAATTTATCGTGTTTTGGCAAGCTACCAGATTCCTACAGAGACCACCTGCAACAATAAAACTGACAGAAAAGACAACAGCCCTCCACTCTGCTTTGCACCACCTTGAAGACCCCTTCCAGAGCCATGAAGGAGACAATCAAAGTGGGAAGCGCACTTTCAGCAGAGGAACGCTGTTAAAAGCAAACCTCCATACAATGGCTCACCAAGTCATCGCCTGTCGTTAAGCTGCTCAGGCCACCCCAGCTCTAAAACAGAACTTTCTTCCTTCCACGAGCAGAGCAGCGCAAAAGGAGATCAGCAATTCAGAAAGTCGCAGCGACTCAAGGGCTTTTGACTGTCTGCCCATACCTGTGATTTTATGTATAACTGAGAACACAGGAACGATTCTCACCGTAGGCTGGCTTACAAACAACTTCCTTAAGCAGTTTAAAAGCACAAATAACTTTTTTTGAGCAATCGAGCGTATTTTTCTACGTACAGAAGCGTATTTTTGTACGTACGTCTCATAAACAGCAAGTAGCCCCTGTTTCCCCAAGCGCACGCCGAAAAATTTTCCCTCGTTGCCACAAATTTCATTCAGGACGACACATAAACGCATGAAAGTCGCTTACCGAGTTTCAAACAATGCCAGCACCTTTGCAGGTCCTTGCTTCCAGGTCCTTCTTCAAGGAGCATCAGTGCGATGGGTAAAACAGCTTGACCTCTGGCAGGTTGGCTCTTCCATTTTCCGGGCCGCGAAGGCCTCGCTCTGGGTCAGCGCATCCACTTATCGGTGCTCCCTCCTGTATTCGGCCGGCACCTTCTGCTCTTGCCTCAAGTGCTGTTGCGAAACCGCCTGATCCCGGAGCTCTGAAAGACCAGCATGTTTCTGCTTCAAGGATCTTGGCTCTGGCAAGTGAGTTATTTTGCTCCAGGTCCCACAAACCGGGCAACAGGGAGAAAAAACAACGTTAGAAGATAGGGACGCAAGGCTTACCAAGTTGTCAATGCTTCTAATCATAAGGAAACAAAACAGTTCTTAAAATATTTACCTCTGATTTAGCAGCTTTCAGGCCTCACCGCTGGATGCCACGTACAAGATCAATCCACGCTCAAGCGGACTAATCCACATTGAATGGGTCACTTTACACCAGACGCGACCCCTAAATTAAGTCATTAAAAGCCCAAATTTGAGCTACTCGTCCATCATTCTTTTTATAGTCCATGGAAAGAAATGGTTACGGCCGGAGAGTGACTCATCCTACAGGAAGAACCGGAGGGAGGTCAAATGAATCGCCCCCCGGAGGTGTCAGCGGCCCCACACGCACCCTAAGCTGAGCGATTCAGTTTTAATCTATCTAGAAGTTCAAGGCACAAGTTCAGAAAGACGAAACCACGCTGTCATCTCTGGATGCCATCACTTCCCTGCTGCCAAGTGCCGCTCGTTGTTATCCCCAGCGATCCCACCGCTTACTGGTACGTAGCAGGGCCGGACAGCGAGAGGCAGGGTGGGAGAAACGGTATCGAAGGGTTGCAAAAACGACTCCACGTTTCAACGCACATTCCCAAAACTCCCCTGAAATGGCGATGCCAGGTTTGCATTCAGAAAGCTTCGTCGGCTACAGCGACGCTACCCTGGAGCTTTTATCAAAGCACTGGGGATGCCCTTTGACGCACAACCCCTCTCACCCACCCGCATCGCTATGATTCACGTACAGAGCGAGAGAAATCGGTTGCTACGGGGCAACTACAGCTTTAAACCCCGTTTCCGTTCGAGCCACTTGCCACCTAGGGCACAGCAGCGCATTCCCCTTTCCCCACAGCTCTCCCCAGTCTGCAACACGTCGCCGCGTTGAAGGTTGTGGGGCAGAAGTCTCACGTTTCTGGCTGCCATCCTGTAGCACGACGTGAACGGCGCTCGGCCAGAAGGGTCCTGAGGTCAGGCACCACGTACCAAACTGACGTCAGGCAGGACCAGGTACGAGAGCTGCGTCTGTTGTGACGTTGTTCTACTTCTTGTGGTTCGGGTTTGGCCACGTGAAAAACGAGGTCTTTGTATTTCCCTAAAAACTATGCCAGTGACTTCATTTGGAAAAGGAAGATCAGCTGTTAAAAACAAGCGGGTTGATGTCCAACTAACTATTGCTTTCGAAAAGGAACACTTGAAAAGTGAGTTCATTGGGTTATGAGGGCATCCTGCTGAGGTATACGAACACAGATTTCCCCTGTGGGCTAAATAAAACAGAGCAGTTGTTAAAGCAAAGGCTAGAAAGGCTTTAAGTGGCCCGTGGCAGTTTGTGCAGCACGCTCAGCTCTCGTAAGCAACGATTACGCGACGTTCCCCTGGTGGAAATAAACATCGAATCCACAGTTTTTAAGAAATAATCAGGGCTCTTCGATACCTCTAGCGAGCATCTCACTGTGACCAAAACAGGCTGTACTTCCGTTTTTTAATTACAAAAGCTAACGGCAAAGACACGTCAGGCTGAAAAGCCCCTTTCACGTCAGGCAAGACAGACGGATGGAAAACGAGCAGTGTCAGCACAATACTTTCTCCGCCCCTGCATGCACGCTCCCCTCCCCTGTGGAGCTCTGCCTGCAGTCCTCTTCCCAGCTTTCCGTCCCCAGAGCAAGAGGACAGAGCGCACACACCACCCGGAGCACGGTCTAGCTGAGACAGACCCTCGGCCAGTCCCAGCATACACCAAAAAAACCACCTTGAGTCCCTCTCTGCCCTTCAGCCTACTGCGCAGAAGTTAAAAGTTACTGATTAAAAATTACTCGCAGTAGCTTAAGGGTTATTTTTCAACCAGAGTGGAAGCAACTCATCAGACGGGTGGCAGCTGAACCACAGAACAGGCTGTACTTTGTTCTGCCAAGTTCGGAGTAAACACACGCTATCTAATCCAGCACGGAGCCCTTCGAAATAAGCAGCCCCCGTAGCGACTGATGCTCTTTTCCCCTCCAGATCACAGGCTTCAAAGGCGAAGAGAAGGGGCCAAAGGGAGGCAGCAAGGAAGGCAAAGGTTGCCCACGTGTTAGCAACCCGTTTAGCAAAGGCAGGATGGCGACGACCTGAGCAGCAAGACTCTCAGAAGCAGCAGCCATCTGAGACAATCTAAACTCACGGGGTTAGACGGAGGTTTCTCCTGTGTTGTTAAACCGAATACTGCCAAAGCCTCCTGCGTCCAGTGACAAATTCACCGAGTTACTCGCAAGAGGATTCGCAGGAATTTAAGGGGTTTCACGCCACAACCACCTTTCAGCACTTGGTTGTAGGTTTTGACACTGAAGAGCTTTATTAATGACGAGCAGAACGAGCGTAGCAGGGTTGTCCTGATCATGGTTTGAATTTAGAGGCTCTTTCGCATAAGCAACGCCAGGAAGTTCCTTGCTGTCTCTTTAATTTCTTCTTTTAACTTCAGAACTAAAAGGACCTCAGAATGTCCGCGCCTCCCTCCCAAACCACAGCCCTATCCTCAGTCGATAGTTAAATGTACAAAACCCGGTACAAAACCTGACAAAGTAGGCCAGGTGCTCAGAAAACCTTTATCACTCCAAATTCTGCTCCCGAGGCATAAAAACTGTAATTCAAGTGCTCCCTTTTAAACGGGTGTACCAACGGGCCCTCCTGGCAGCTAGCCACTTCCTTTTTTTTTTTTTTTTTAACCAAAACACCCAGTTTCCTCCAACCCACCCCTGAAGGAGGTTACTGATTGTACAGAAAGACCGACACACGCAGCCCGAAGCCCAGGAAAACTGCCTTCTCCGCTCAGGTGCACACACAGTTCAGCCAGCACGGGAGAGCACTGAACTGTACAACCCGGTTCTTTAAATATTCAATAACGTATAACTCGGAGCAAACCACGGGGTTGTTTGGGGTTTTTTTTCCCCCAAAAAAAAGACGACAAGAGAAACCAGGTTAAAAAGAACCATCTCACAAAGAAGATGGGCAATCTATTAGCGCTTGGCAAGCTAGACAATCCTCGTACACAGAACAACAAGCTGTACAAAACCCAAAGGAGATGGCAGAGAGATTTGTAAGGCTTTCCGCACTTTTATTCTTCTCCTGGTCCAACAGATCTTCTGATTTCATTCCAAGAAAGCTTCAAAGTCATGTCAGAACAGCCACAAATTCACCTCCGGTATGTGCAAAATTCAAACCAATTTACATAGATAAAATTGCAAAGGTAAAAACAAAACTAAAGGCGAGGATCACGGGTTAAAATATTTCTTCTGAGTCCAAGAGACTACAGCTTGGGCATATTTGAAAACATATTCCGAACTTTTAAAACAAGCAACAGTTTTTTTTGACTGATAAAAAGGTTTATTTGAAGATGGAAACTAAAGGAGGATCCTCCTGGTGAACACTTTCTTTTTCTTTTCCGGGATATTCCCATTTGCTGACAGACTGGTTCACACAATGACTTCCTGTATCTCCTCCGCTTCTCACTCCGCCCCACGGTTACTGGCTTTTTTACAGCAAAAACCGTCTTGACTCTCATCCTGCCTTTGACAGAGATTTGACACGGAAGTGGCTATCTGTTCAAAAGAAGTCTGAGCTCAGGAGACAGGGCAGAGGCATTAAAAAGTCCATAAATAGTACACCGAGTGCGTTAGGGATCTACTTCCAGGCTACATCACAAACCAACTCCGGTGTCCACGCCACCATCCTAAGTCACCTCTACGAAAGTAGTGACAGCTAGACTCCAGCAAAGGGAGGCATCTTCTTCCTGACTTTGAGATGCCTGAATTACCCCTGCCGAGCAAGCTTCCCTGGTTAAGGGAAACCCAAGATCCACTGCTTTGCCTACATCCCAAAATGTACGGACACGATAGTCACAAAAAGCCCTTCGGATGGGAAGGGAACAAAGAGAAGGAAGACATTTCTCAAGCGATCAACGCCACAGAACTTGGCTTTACACATCTGGACCGAAACATTTCGGTTGGCAGCTACAGCATCTTCTGCTGCGCCATTTCTACCTAGACATCGCAACGCTGACTCCAGACAAGCAACGCGACAGAATCCAGTCCAACCCCTAGCGGTGACTGTGGTTAGGTCGTCTCGGGTGGTCGGACGGAGGATGACCCCAGACTCAGGGAAGTTCTTGGAAAGCAATCCATTTCCAAACCAGCGCTCACAGCTGATCTTGGGTCTGCTTTGGAGACGGAGCTGTTGTCACCACCACAGTGGAAACGGCTTTAGTCGAGCCAGACACTGTTCCCTGCTGGAGATGGGAGGCCGGTACTGTTTGAATTCGCACCTGTTTGAAACGGAAAGAAAAATGACTCAACTCCTGCCACGAACCACCTGGTGACGCGTCGCGCTCTGAAGCGCTGGTAAATCATCTGCTCCTGCCGCCAACAAGCAATCAGTTCAGATGAACGAGACCAAGCACCAAAATCAAGAACGGAACCTGTCACAAGGAGATCGCTCCGTCCGCTACTGGCCAAGAGATCTCAAGATTAGCGAGGCAGACCTAAAAACTAGTTTCAGTAAAAACCTACATGCCGGCTGCTTTTACAAGTTTTCAGAAGGAGGACTTGGATCCGTTGGATGCTTCACTTCTGCAGACCTGTAACTAGCAGCTCTCAATGCGGATTAAATCTTGGGAATTAGAGAACGCGCCGTTGCCAGACAGAAAGATGGGATACGCCAAGCAGCGATGCCATTTCTTCAAGAAACGGCGACCGGCAGAAGCCAAAGCACAAAGCACTACAAAAAGAGCCAAGTGTATAAAAACAATCCTTCAAGCCGCTGGGAACATCTCCTGGCAGGATTTTTGCTTTTACATTCGCTATCAGTGCCTCACAAACATTTTCAACCTGCATCTGGATGGAGGGAAGGTAAAGGAGACGATGCACCGCACGTGCTTAACGCAGACGCGACAGCCAAGCTGCGTACCCGTGCTTCTTACGGAACCCCAGGTACCCAGTGTAAAGTCCTCAGGGAGATGTTAAATCATAAAAGAAAGCAAACAATCTGATTATTCGAGGTGCCTTTACCTGCGTAGCCTGGCCTTGCTGCTGCAGCTGCTGTAGTTGCTGTGCAGTCAGAAAACTCACTGGCTTGTTCCCAGCGATCAGTTTTGTCCCTGCTGGCATCGTCGTCAGGATGATATTCCTACCTAATCCACTGATGCTAAAGAAAGGGAATTGTTGCAAGGTTAGTAAAGAGCACAGCGGGCCAGATCTTTCAGACTCACAAACTGCTCTTTGGTTGCTAAGAGATTAAAGTTACTTACCTCACTTCCAGTAGTGGGGTTTTCCCCCCACAAAACTGGCAAATACACAAGCGACAAGTTTATGTCAACATTTATCACTATGATAGAGGATTGCTTTATCACGTGAATTAAACCCTCCGATTCTAGACCGTGCACATCACTGGGTTAGTCTGGTCAGACCTGAATGCAGAAAACGGCCGAGCACACAGTGTTCTGCCTTGAAATATTCACCGAGGGAGACACGACCAGAAGTCACGGAAGCATAGCCCAAAAGACTTCAATATCTGAATGCCAGAGGAATTTTCACTGAGGCAGTTAACACTTCCCTAGTTTCTGTAACGGAGAGTCGGCTTCAGATTGCCTGTATTTTTAGGTCACCAGGTTAATTATTTTATGTTTAGTTAAGTTATGTCACCAGGTTAATTCTCGCTCAAACACACAAACTCATCTAACAGCAGGTTTCAAGGCAAAGACCGTTTTTACTGCAGTGTATTTGCTAGGACCTCCATCTCGGGGCACCTAAACGAAGACTATATTCTCGTTGTTGCCAGGCACCGTACTAATTCAGTGTCCTGCCACTAACGGATCTATTAACGGACCGCAAGTCTCTCCCACCCTCTGCTCGCCAGCCCCCCAGGGACCTCCTGAACGCAGACCTTCCTCAGGCTATTTCTAAAAGCAAAACTGCCAGATGCAAAGTACTCACTTGGCCCCGAGGTTGCCCTTGATGATGGGGGCCGTCACCACACTCTTGCCTTTCACTGGCTGGCTGATGACCGACAGAGGCACCGTTATTCGTGCTGGTAGTTTACCCTAGAGAAGTTGAAGAACACGTGAGGAGCTGCGGGGAGTTCAGCAGAGAAACTACGTGACAACATGCAATTACCACTCGGCTTGCTTTTTTAGGAGTCCTGGGAGCAGACACCACCAGCAGCTTTGCTGATGAAATCTGCGCTCCGTTTCAGGCTCGCTAAAATTCACCTCCACCTCTCTCACTTCACAGCTGCCTCAGCCCCAAAAGCCCGCATCATCTTTGCACCACAGTGTTTCTCCAGGAAGGATCGCTGTATCCATCTCTGATTTTTATCCCTAGGAAACTACCGTAATGTCAATTAGCCGGTGCAACTTTCACCGGTTTATGGTGCCTTCAGCTTTGGGCACCAAAATCGCACGGAACGGGGAAATCAGTAAAAAAAGTTAACAGAAGCAGTAAGCACTTCTAGTTCTGACACCATTCCAAGGGCAATTATAGCAGAGGTGTGGGGCAAGACGCTGAGCTGCACGAGGTAGGACTTCAGATAAGCAAAGTTTATTTCATTCACTCGCAACACGGAGGTAAGGGAAGACGTATCTGACTCTTCTCTGGTCACCGAGCATTTAGCTGCAATTCCAACGCCACGCAACGAGCTGCAGGCCCCCATCCTACAGTACCAAACTGGAGCCTTTTTTGGATGTAAAGACCAGTTTTCAGGCGTAAACCTGAATTCAGCATTCCCCTTTCTCCCCCACCTCCAGGAAAAGGTTAGTGCTACTTACTGCCTGCGATGTAGATACTACTGTAGTGCTGACGGGTACCTGCCGCACAGCAGTGGCTCCTGTGCCTATAGTTATGGGAGTCCCAGCCGCTCCCGAGGCCACGGCCACCGCTTTGGACACTGTGGCACTCATGGTTGGTAAAGAGACGGCTGAGGTATGGACCGTGCCGGGCACGCTCACCGCCGAGGAAGAGGGCGCTGGCTTAGCGTGAGTAGCGACGGTAATAGTCTGCCCAGCTTTGGGCGGCATCACCCCCAGCCCCTGCACGATTCTGATGGTCGCAGCCGGCTTGGCCTCGGTGGACGCCACCGTCGTGATGGCTTTGCTCTTCTGCTCCGCCACCGTCATGCCCAGAGCGGGCATCAGGCGGAAAGCGGAGCTCGTTGGCTCTGCAGTCTTTAAGTCAGGAGTCACTTTAACCACGGTGCTTCCAGCGGGGCTGGAAGAAGCAGAAGTGGCCGTGCTAGTCTTGGCTGGAGAATCAGCGGCCTGGACAGGATTGGATGTCACGTGCAACGTCGCCGAGATGCCTTTCCCGCTGGCGCCGCTTCCCGCGGCTGCCGTGAAGAGGTCCTGAGTCAGTTTGACAGTAGTGACTTGAGATTTGGCCAGGGTGGCCATCATGTCCGGGGTGATACGCAGCACAGTCTGTCCCTTCGCGTCTGTGGTGATGGAGGACGGGGGTAGGCGCAACACGTCCTTCCCTTGGATCCGAAAATTGGTCGCTGTGAGCGGGATGCCGCTTCCCGGCTGGGTCTTCATGCCAAGCTGTCCTGTAATAGCCACCTGGAAGAGATCAGAGAAGTGGCTGTATCGAACCAGGAACGGAGTCCAAGGCCCAGTCCAAGTCAAACTTCCCAACAGGGTGTTTCCTCCCGTCCGAACTGAAGCACCACAATGCCGGCACTCAGGACCAAACACTGAAAACGGTTTTGGTTGCCTATCAGGTGGCAATCCCAAACCCGTATAAAACACGAAATAACCGTGGAGCTGCTTTTTCAAACAAGCTGAACGAAAATGAGATCAACAGCCGAGGATGGTTACCCTTGGACTGACACATCTTCTACCTGTACGTGAAAACGAGGCTCAAACACACCAAACCAGCAGCCTGCCTAAATCCCTACGGTCAGTAATTCACACAGCATGACAGTTTTCACTCTCTTTTCCCACGTCTGTCACAACAAACAGGAAACAACCAGGTTGGGGAGCCCAGGTCCTTGTCTCTCCCCCTCTCTCACCTGCTTGATGATATTCTGGCCAGCTACATTCTGGATGACGGTGGTGGAGGAGGTGCTCGTAGCAGAACTGCCTGGAGAGCTGGTCACCGGCTTTACAGCCGGGCTGGGAGCTGCGGACAGTCCCGTCACAGTGAGGCCCGTCTGTCCCGTCACGGAGCTTCCCGGTCTTTGCACCTGCGCTGGGCTGGTTTGAGCTTTTACCGGCAGAGTCATCACAGCCTACAGCAGGACACAGAGGCAGCCCGTGAGCAGATTAACACAATACCAGCAGACCGATAATTTGCTTTTTGTCTCGTGCCTTATAGCCTCCAAGCTCTACGGACTTTTGACTGCAATGCACAATCGAACGGCGCCACCTAAACAGGCAATAGGGAGGAAGAAAGGAGCGCCGAACGGCATTATTTATGCACAACTGTTTCTATGCTCCTGCCCTGCGGTGACCACATGTTCCAAGCGAGCAAGTGATCCCTGTGCACCGTACCGAAACACGACAAGAAGTCAGACTGGCAGCCAGAGCCCCTCCACCATTTCCACGCAGCCCAACTCACCTGAGGGAGCACTTTGGTCGGCGTGGCTGCAGGCG